ACATCCAAATTTTCATTATCTCAAACTCTTGTTTCCAAAGTTATTTGTTAATAAAGATCATTCTTCATTTCAGTGTGAAATTTGTGAGTTAGCAAAACACCATCGAACTGTTTTCTTGCCTTTGTCATATAAGCCTTCACAAGCTTTTGCACTAATTCACAGTGACGTATGGTGTCCCCTCACGGATAACAACTAATGCAGGAAAAAAATGGTTTGTGATGTTCATAGATGATCACACTAGGACGAGTTGGGTATACCTGCTAAAAGAAAAATCAGAGGTAGAGGGAGTGTTCAGAATGTTTCATAATATAGTGAAAACACAATTCCAAGCTTCCATTCAGGTATTTAGGAGTGATAATGGCAAAGAGTACTTTAATGAGATCCTAGGGAAATACTTTGTCGACAAGGGAATCATTCACCAAAGCTCATGTAGTGATACCCCCAACAAAATGGGATAGCAGAGCGGAAAAATAAGCACATTTTAGAGGTAGCACGAGCATTATTGTTCACCAATCATGTTCCAAAATACCTATGGGGAGAGGCTATTCTCACAGCAATATGCCTCATCAATAGAATGCCTACGAGGATTTTGAACCGTGGGACACCACTAGAAGTGCTCAAAACATGCTTTCCACTTCAAAGAATCTCTGCGGCCCTACCTCTAAAAATATTTGGCTGCACGGCTTTTGTTCACATTCATGATAGAAATAGAGGGAAATTCGATCCTAGGGCAAGGAAGTGTGTGTTTTTAGGTTATGCTCCAACCCAAAAAGGGTATAAGTGTTTTGATCCGGTCACCAAGAAAATATTTGTAAGTCTTGATGTCACCTTTTTTGAAAATACACCATATTTTGGAGCTCATCTCCAAGGGGATTTTAGACATGAAGATTCGGGAAAGGTAGACCATTATGAGGATCTCATTAGGCTTGAAACCAATGAACCTAGAATTTTGAGGCAAGAGGAAAAACCAAAGGAAAAACCTGTTGTCCTTCCTATTCCCATTGAAAGTACCACAGATTCCGAGAGGAACCCCACTGCCCCTAGTCCTGATATTCAAGAAGTGAGCAGAACCAAAGAAAGGTCAAAAACAGGTGCTGAAATACAGGTTTATTCGAGAAGGCAGACAGAAAAAATAAATAAAGCTGCTGTCACTAATTTGCACAGCCATGAGTTGGAACTAAGGAAGGTAATGAACTCAGAAACTGATCCAGGGAATTCTTCAATTGACAAAAGTGTGAGTGATCACATATCTCCTGATTCCGATTCTATGAATAACCTGGATATGCCTATTGCAATTAGAAAAGGCATTAGAAGTTGCACCCAACATTCTTTATCTAACTTCATCTCCTATAAGCACTTGTCACCATCTTTTTTTGCCTTCACTTCTCATCTGTCTTCTGTGGAGATTCCAAAAAATATACAGGGTGCTTTACAGGTTCCAGAGTGGAGGGAAGCTGTTTTTGAAGAGATGAGGGCACTAGAGAAGAATCAAACGCGGGAAGAAGTTGCACTACCAAAGGGGAAAACCACTGTGGGTTGCAAATGGGTATTCACCACCAAATACAACTAAGATGGCTCTCTCGAGCGATACAAAGCAAGGCTGGTGGCAAAAGGATACATGCAAACTTATGGCATAGACTACTTGGAGACGTTTGCACATGTGGCGAAGTTGAACACAATAAGAGTAGTATTATCCTTAGCTGCTAACCTTGACTGGCCTCTGCAGCAGCTAGATGTAAAAAATGCCTTCTTGAACGGAGATCTAGAGGAAGAGGTCTATATGGAAGCGCCACCAGGCTTTGAAGGGAAGTTTGGAACCAAAGTCTGCAAGTTAAAGAAATCACTATATGGCCTCAAGCAATCACCAAGGGCTTGGTTTGATAAATTTGCAGGCTCAATGAAGAAGCAGAACTATGTGCAAGGACAGAGTGACCATACAATGTTTGTACAGCATTCAATGAAGGGTAAGATCACGGTTCTTATTGTCTATGTAGATGACATAATTCTCACTGGTGATGATGAGGCGGAAATGAGGAGGTTGAAAGAAACCTTAGCAACTGAGTTTGATATAAAAGACCTTGGAGGACTAAAATACTTCCTTGGAATGGAGGTTGCCCGCTCAAATAGGGGAATTGTTGCGTCACAAAGGAAGTATGTGCTAGACTTGTTAAGAGAAACAGGGATGAGTGGATGTAAACCAGCAGAGACGCCCATTGATCCTAATTAAAAGCTAGGCAACATTGAAGATAGAATACCTGTGGACACAGCTCGATACCAGAAATTGGTGGGAAAGTTAATATACTTGTCCCACACACGGACGGACATCGCCTTCGCTGTAAGCCTTGTAAGTCAATTTATGCACTCACCATGTGAAGAACATCTAGAGGCTGTTTTCAGGATCATTAGATATCTAAAGGGCTGTCCAGGGAAAGGATTATTCTTCACCAAAACTGGACAACGTACAGTGGAGGCATACACTAATGTTGATTATGCAGGTGCTATCTCTGATCGACGATCCACCTCAGGATACTGTACCTTTGTATGGGGAAACCTCGTAACCTGGTGTAGCAAAAAACAAATGTAGTTTCTCATAGTAGTGCAGAATCTGAATACAGAGCAATGGCTCATGGTGCGTGTGAGCTACTATGGCTAAAGCGTCTCATGGAGGAGTTAAAACAACCGATAGACAGGCCAATGAAACTGTATTGCGACAACAAAGCTGCCATTTTCCATCGCCAATAACCCAGTTCAACATGACCGAACCAAGCACATCGAAGTTGACAGGCATTTCATCTGAGAGAAACTTGAAGAAGGAATAATCTGCATGCCCTTCGTTCCAACAAACCAGCAACTTGCAGATATTCTTACTAAAGGCTTCTTCAAACTAGTTTTTGAAGATCTTGTAAGCAAGTTGGGCATGATAAACATATATGCGCCAACTTGAGGGGGAGTGTCGAAATATTAGGAAGTTTTTTAGTTATTTAGTTTTTGAATAAACAACCTGATTTAAAGGGTTGAGTATCTCAAGTCTAGGGTAGTTAGGATTTTCCTATTTTTGTGGAATCTAGGTTACGTTTGCTTGGTCTATAAATAACCTATGTATTCTGCCAATTATAATCATAATAATAAGAAGAGTTTTTTCCTTCTATCTAAACCTACAACTAAGTTGCTCTAACAAGTTGCAAAATATTCTAAGATTACAAATGATGAAAATTTTCTTTTAAAATCAAAATGAACAATGGCAGAAAAGCATACACGATGATTTGGAGAAGCTGCACTCAATGTTTCTGGAGCTTCGAAGCATGGGGCAGTATCCACTTACAACTACCATATTGTCCAATACACTGAATTGCCACTCATACACGATGATTTGGAGAAGCTGCACTCAATGTTTCTGGAGCTTCGAAGCATGGGGCAGTATCCACTTACAACTACCATATTGTCCAATACACTGAATTGCCACTCATACACGACTTTTCTGAAAAAATTAAATAAAACAATCCACTGAGAATTAACTCAGCAATATTTGTGGTTAACTACATGATGGTAAGCTTTCCATTGGCCATTAATTATACGAAAATCAGGAGGAAAAATGTGCTTACCAGTTCAGATGTTTGGAACGCTATATAAAATTAACGTCCTTACCGTATACATATATATCCATGTAATGGCATGTCATACACCAACTTTCACAAAAGTTCCAGCCACCTAAGTATAGCATAAAAATTGGTTCTTCTGAAATGTAAAAACTTAAAAAGCAGAAACAGTAAGTAAAAAATTCAGGAACAGCCAACAAGAAAAAGAATTCAAAATATCTACTCTCCCAGACAAAGATGACCAATAAAGATGAACACATCTTAAAGCGTTTTACAGAGAGAATTGGGTAATCAAGCAAATCACAAATGCCCACAAACAACAGCCAAATAAAGATTTTTGGAATTTTGTTTGCAAAGAAATGGGAGTTTAGACACACAAACACACACACACATATATATTTGTGGAAAGTCGTTTACAATAGGCTGATTGTATAGCTGTAGTTACGTATTTTGTAGGGATTTGATTTGTTTCCTGATTTCTCTAGATAAGGAGTTACCTAATATATTATCTATAGGGCTGAAATCAAGGGATTTAAAACCGGTGTGGTTATCCCTAATTTGTATATAAATAGTGGCTGTACAGAATTGTTTTCAGTGTGAATAAGAATTATTCTTTCTCCTAAAACCTAAATCCGGCTCTAAGAAATTTTCATGGTATCAAAGTAAGGCTGCTGATCCGGTTTTTAGGATTTCCTTTCAAGCCATAACCCTAGTTTCGTTTCAGTCCTCAACCGGAAAAAAACTAGTATTCCATAACCCTAGTTTTGTTTCAGTCATCAACCGAAAAAAAAAAACCCTAAACCTCATGGCATCAGAAACTGACAGCACTTCAGGAACCATGGCTGGTCAGGACAGTGTTAATGCTGGCCGGTCAGAGGGGTCCCTTCTTCTCATCACTCAACACAAGTTGAATGGTCAGAATTATCTCCAATGGGCCAAGTCAGTAATGATGTTTATCTCAGACAAAGGGAAGGACGATTACCTCACGGGATTGGCTGCTGCACCAAAGCCGACTGACCCTAAGTACAAGATCTGGAAAGCATAAAATAATATGGTGATGTCTTGGCTAGTCAATACCATGGACGCAGACATAGGGCAGAATTTCTTGTTCTACGACACTGCACAGGAAATTTGGATGGCGGCTCAAGAAACTTATTCCGATAACGAAAACACTGCTGAATTATTCGAGATCAAGGGGGCGCTTCATGATCTACGGCAGGGAGAATCAAATGTCACTCAATACTATAATTGTCTCACTTGTTATTGGAGACAACTGGACATGTTTGATAGTCCAGCTTGGGAATGTCTTGGAGATGCAACCCTTTACAAGAAAATTATAGAGAAAGAGAGAGTTTTCAAGTTTCTTCTAAGGCTTGACAAATCCCTCGATGGGCCAAGTCAGTAATGATGTTTATCTCAGGCAAAGGGAAGGACGATTACCTCACGGGATTGGCTGCTGCACCAAAGCCGACTGACCCTAAGTACAAGATCTGGAAAGTAGAAAATAATATGGTGATGTTTTGGCTATTCAATACCATGGACGCAGACATAGGGCAGAATTTCTTGTTCTTCGACACTGCACAGGAAATTTGGATGGCGGCTCAAGAGACTTATTCCGATAACGAAAACCCTGCTGAATTATTCAAGATCAAGGGGGTGCTTCATGATCTATGGCAGGGAGAATCAAATGGCACTCAATACTATAATTGTCTCACTCGTTATTGGAGACAACTGGACATGTTTGATAGTCCGGCTTGGGAATGTCCTGGAGATGCAACCCTCTACAAGAAAATTATAGAGAAAGAGAGAGTTTTCAAGTTTCTTCTAGGGCTTGACAAATCCCTCGATGAAGTAAGGGGGAGGATTCTTGGAACCAAGCCCCTCCCATCCATTCAAGAAGCATTCTCGGAAGTCAGACGAGAGGAGAGTAGGAAGAAACTTATGCTAGGAAGCTTACCGCCCATAGGAAACGAAGCTTCAGCCCTTGTAGCAAGAGGAGTCAATGCAGCCCACGACACAAAACAAAAGAAAACTCGGCCTTGGTGTGATCACTGCAAGAAAACAGGTCACATTCGAGATACTTGCTGGAAAATCCATGAAAAAGCCCACTGATTGGAAGCCAAGTCGAGAAAGAGAAGCCCGGAGCTTTGTTGCAGCTCCCGAAGACAAGGGAAAACCCACAAGCATGGAACCAAGTCTCTTTAGCAAGGAGCAAATCAAATGGCTGCAGCAAATGTTCAACCAGAATTCCAATCTTGGCCCAACTGTCTCCACAAGATCTGCTGCCCAGAAAGGTATTTTTTCAGCCGCTACTCATGTCAAAACAGAGGACTCCGCAGACTGGATTGTTGATTCAGGAGCCTCAGAGTACCACATGACTGGTGATGCTTCGTTATTTCAAGAATGTAATCCTTGCCTTAAAGAGTATAAAGTCCGGATTACTGATGGATCACTTTCTCCAGTAACAGGAATTAGAAAAGTGGTCATCTCTAATACATTGACTCTTCAGTCCGTCCTTTTGGTTCCCAAATTAACGTGCAATTTGCTATCTGTCAGCAAACTTACTAAAGATTCTAAATGTGTTGATAAGTTTTCACCCACTTCTTGTTTATTTTAGGATTTGGATTCGGGGAAGATGATTGGCAATGCTAAGGAAAATCAGGGACTCTACTGGATTAGGGACAAGACTTATCCTCACTTTATCACTCCATGACCTCCTCAGTTCAAAAATCGGATTCTTCTATGTTTTTTGATTCAAATAAAGACAGTAGCATTAGGTTACTGCATTTCCGTTTAGGACACCCAAATTTCATCTACTTGGCAAAAATGTTCCCTTCATTATTTATCAATAAAAATCCAAAATTTTTCCAATGTGAAGTTTGTCAACTCTCAAAGCATTGTCGTAGCACATACCCTATTCAAGGGTACAAACCTTCTCATCCTTTCTCCGTCATACACAGTGATATTTGGGGACCATCTCGGATTCCAAATATAACTGGTGCAAGATGGTTTGTATCCTCTATTGATGATCACACTCGAGCCACCTAGGTATTCCTTATGAAAGAAAAATCAGAGGCTGGACCCTTGTTTAGAACCTTCCACTCTATGATAAAAAATCAGTTTCAAGCCACTGTTCAAGTCTTTCGAACCGACAATGCTCGAAAATACTTCAATTCAATTCTAGGACCCTACCTTCTCGAGAATGGCATTATCCATCAAAGCTCATGTACAGATACCCCTCAACAAAATGGAATCACAGAAAGGAAGAACAGACATCTCCTTGAGGTAGCCCGTTCTATCCTATTTTCTAGTCATGTACCAAAACATTTTTGGGGGGAAGCAGTTTTAACTGCTACTTATCTAATTAATAGGATGCCATCTCGAATCTTGAAGTTTAGTACACCATGCCAAGTACTTCTTAAAATCTTCCCACAAAGCCGAGTGGTGAACACTATACCACTCAAGGTATTCGGATGTTCAGCCTATGTCCATATTCCCTCTCATCAACGCATGATGTTAGATGAACCAGTGAGTGATATGTTATAACCCTTGGGTAGAACTCATCCCCAAAAGCTAGCTTGTAGGGAGAGGGTGCCCAAATGGTTATAAACCCACATGCTAAGCCCATACTTTAGCAATGTGGGACTCAACCAGGATCCTAACATACCACCACGCTTCCGACACCGACGTCCACGGCGGCCCACTCTGGATGGCCCACTCTGGCCTTTCCAGGTCGCCCCTCCCCAGGTCGCCCCTTCCGCAACGTGGGCCTGAGGAGGAGCATGCTCTGATACCAATTGTTATAACCCTTGGGTAGAACTCATCCCCAAAAGCTAGCTTGTAGGGAGAGGGTGCCCAAATGATTATAAACCCACATACTAAGCCCATACTTTAGCAATGTGGGACTCAACCAGGATCCTAACATGATATCACCCCGTTACATCCCGAGACTGAGAAGGAACTCCTAGTCTACACCAGGCGGAAGAAGACTCTTAAACCAATAGAACATCCGGAGATTCCTATGCCTTGCCAAGCAGACAACCCGAGTTCAACTCAAAATGAAAAAGTACAAGGTAACACTGAATCTGATTCTTATTCTAATGATTTGTGCGTGCCTGATGACCTTACTAAGCCAATTGCTCAAAGGAAAAGGATTAGATCATGCACTCAACATCCTATCTCATACTTTGTGTCCTATGAGAAACTGTCTCCGAGTTACAGGGCCTTCACCACCAACCTAGACAATATTCAGATACCAAGGAACATCCTAGAGGCGCTACTACATCCACAATGGAAACAAGCTGTTAATGAGGAGTTAAGAGCCTTACAAAAGAATGGTACTTGGGAGCTTACTCACCTTCCTCAGGGCAAACAAGCAGTAGGTTGTAAGTGGGTTTTCACTGTTAAATATAAAGCAGATGGAAGTGTTGACAGGTACAAAGCAAGACTAGTGGCAAAGGGCTTCACACAGACTTATGGCATCAATTATTAGGAAACATTCGCTCCAGTGGCAAAGATGAATACTATTCGAGTACTACTTTCCTTAGCTGTCAACCTTGATTGGAATTTGCATCAATTTGATGTTAAAAATGCATTCCTCAATGGTGATTTGGAAGAGAAAGTATATATGGAAATTCCACATGGGCTTGAGCAATCAAGAGGCGTCAAACAGGTGTGTAGACTTCGAAAGTCACTATATGGTCTCAAGCAATTGCCAAGAGCTTGGTTTGACAGGTTTACCAAGGTAGTTAAGGAGCAGGGATATTTGCAAGGACAATCATATCACACGTTATTCATCAATAGAAATTCGGATGGTAGGATTACAATCCTTATTGTCTATGTTGATGACATAATTGTTACTGGGAACAATGAGGCAGAGATTGCTCAGCTAAAGGGAATCCTAAGTCGGGAATTTGAAATCAAAGACCTTGGAGCTCTAAGATACTTTCTTGGAATGGAGATAGCACGGTCTAACAAAGGAATTTCAGTCTCACAGAGGAAGTATACACTAGACTTACTAAAAGAAACAGGCATGCTTGGCTGCAAGCCTTCAGACACTCCTATGGATCCTTCCAACAAAATAGGTACTAAAGGAGATTCAGGTCCGGTAGATAAAGGAAGATATCAAAGGTTAGTGGGCAAAATAATCTACCTATCTCACACAAGACCAGACATCAGCTTCGCTGTCAACACGGTTAGTCAATTCATGAATAGTCCGAATGAAGAGCATCAAGAAGCAGTATACAGGATTCTGAGGCACTTAAAGATGTCTCCCGGCAAAGGTTTATTTTTCAAGAAAGGAACAAACAGGGGCATAGAGATCATGTCAGATGCAGATTGGGCGGGATCTTTGACTGATAGGCGATCAACCTCTGAATACTGTTCGTTTGCATGGGGAAACCTTGTCAGCTGGAGGAGCAAAAAGCAATTAGTAGTTGCTCGGAGTAGTGCTGAAGCTGAGTTCAAGGCCCTAGCTCACGGAATTTGCAAAGGAATGTGGCTAAGAAGACTTCTAGAAGAACTACAACTCCCAATCAAGACACCTATGGAACTGCTGTGTGACAATCAGCCAGCCATCAGTATTTCGAAGAATCCAGTCCTTCATGATCGCACCAAGTACGTGGAAATAGACCGTCACTTTATCAAAGAAAAGATAGAGGATGGAATTGTGGAAGTTGTCTACACGCCCACACGGCAACAAACTGCAGACGTGTTCACCAAAGCTATTGCAAGAACTCACTTCGATACTCTACTATCCAAGCTGGGAATGATTGACATACATTCTCTAACTTGAGGGGGAGTGTGGAAAGTCGTTTAGAATAGGCTGATTGTATAGCTGTAGTTTCCTATTTTGTAGGGATTTGATTTGTTTCCTGATTTCTCTAGATAGGGAGTTACCTAATATATTATTAATAGGGCTGAAATCAAGGGATTTAAAACCGGTGTGGTTATCCCTAATTTGTATATAAATAGTGGCTGTACATAATTGTTTTCAGTGTGAATAAGAATTATTCTTTCTCCTAAAACCTAAATCCGGCTCTAAGAAATCTTCAATATTGTAAAGTAAAAAAAATATAATAAGAATAAGGAAACTTAAAACAAATACTAATTTAAAAGTAACTTTTTGAAAACTTTGAGAAAGCATAAAGTCACAATCATAATACACAAAGCATCTAAGCATCTTAGAAAATGACAAAATTTCTTTCCAAAGATCACACCATCTCCTAAAACCCTATCATTCTCATATAATTTACCACTAGTTTAAGCCACGTCGTAACGCACATGGGGAGCAATTATTTAGATTTTATTTGTATGTAGGGTGAAACACAGGGAAAAATGGAGTTTAGGAGTGACAAAGAGACATTAAGTTATTTAGTAGAGAGAATTAATATTTGAAAAGGGAAGAGAAAATGTCTCGGGGAACAAATTTTCTTTTTCATATCTACCAAAACGTAAAGGGGAAAAAAACCATCCCCTTCTTTTTTTTTTTTTTTGGTATTTTCTCATTTGATTTTTTTTTTTTTATCTTCTCCTTCCTATTTGGAAAAAGACGCCAAAAGACTCATAGTAAATAATAAACCTATTGAAAGTAGGAAATGCAACCAAAAATGCAACTAAATAGGCATTTGAAAAGTTCACCCTGAAAAGTTTACTTTAATAGGCATTTGAAAATTTAGACTGAAAAAAGAATATACGTTTTTGTACATTTATACATTTATACGAATGACTCATGATTTGGCCTTGTGTCTTACGTTTTTGTACATTTATCCTCTATTTCTGAAAAGTGCACCCTCGTGTCTTCCATTAATTAATTTTACTAATACAAGAAAACGAGTTATGTCATTTGAAAATTTACACTGAAAAAAGAATATACAAAATGCAACATATAGTCAATGCCATGGCTATGTCAACAAGCAAGTCTCGTTGGGGAACTTTACGTGCAAAAATAATTGGCATCACCAACGTGTAAAGATAATTGAGCCAACACTTGTTTCTTTAATTCTTAAGAGAATCACAATAAAGTTTGTTATACACATACACACAATAGAAGTGAGAGTTATTCAGGATGTAGACCTCGTTCATTTCACCGATTCAAGTTTTCAATTCCAGTT